AAAAAAAAAAAAAAAAAAAAATACAAACAGTAACAACATGTTCAAATCCAAAAAATGCACATTAAGTCAATAAGCACAACAGGCCATTTGATGTAATTTGCCTTGTGGTCCAACAGAGGATATAATGTGAGAGAGTAGTGAGCAAAGTTGTGCTGATTAGATAAAAATGACACAGCAGGATCTGTAAAATGTGACAGACCTCTAGACTACTAATCCATACCTTATCCAGTTTGAGTTTATCTAGGTCAGTCAGGAAAGGGTTCACAGCTTTCTCTCCCACCACTCTCATTGCCGTCCCCAAAGCTTCAAAGGCAGCATCACGCACTTCTGGGGCAGAGTCATTCACTTGCTGAGAAGGTTAAAAAGAAAAGTACAGTACAATTAAAAGATGACAAATGAAAATGGCATCCTATGTTTCCACTAAGTCTTAGACTGAGATGTCACAATAAAAACCAAAATAGTTTATTATCATGTACAGTAGTTCCAAGAGGGAAAAAAATTCGGACAGGAACAGACTTTAGCGGACAGTCAAGACTGCAGAAAGAGTCATCGATGCCAGCCTCCCCTCCATGGAGGACCTGTACACCTCACAGGCCGAAAGGAGGGCAGAGAAGATTTCTGCAGACCCCTCACACCCTGGACGCAAACTGTTTAAACTCCTCCCCTCTGAACGGCGTTACAGACAACCAGGCACAAGGATAGCTTCTTCCCCCGGGCCGTCGCTCTGATCAAAGCTTAACCCACGACTGTATGACAGGACGACAACCCTCATTGCAGCACCTGTAAATATACTTTTGTATATATCTGGAATACTGCATCTAAATTGTGTATGTGTATATTGTAGTTTGTATATACACACACACACACACACACACACACACACACACACACACAATATATATTTTTTTCCTACAAGTACTTTAATTTTAGGAGGAGATATATAGATGTGGATGTGCTAAAAGAGGACGTAAAGTTAACTGATGTGAGAGTAGAGGATGCCGAGGATAGTTAGGTGGAAACAGATGATTTGCTGCAGCGACCCCTAACGGGAAGAACCAAGAGTAGAAGATGAAAACACCATTTTCCTAATGTAAATTCTTTTTCTTTTCTCATTCTCTCAATCTTGTCTAATTGTTGCCTTACAGAAGAACACTGTACAAACACATTGAGAGCCACGGTACTGGAGTAAAATTCCTCATGTGGTCAACAAAGCTGATTCTGATTCTATAAATGTTACACAAGCAAAAGTAACAATCCTGATAAAACATTTCTACTGATGGTATATGTACCTTAATGAGAGCAGCACAGAAGGTTTTGAGGATGCTCTTAGGCAATGTGGCCTGTGTGCAGTGTCTGAAGGAGCGAGCCAGAAACAAAGAAGCCTGCTGCTTAATGGAGGGGTTCTTATTGTCCATCACAGCCAGGATGTCATCTGAAAGGTTCTGAAGAGTGGTCTGGAAAAAGGATCAGCAACATCATATAAACCACAGAGAGGGGGGGAGGAAAAAAAAAAAAAAAAAAAAAAAAACTACTCCAACTTCAATGAGGGTATTGTGTGAAATGCATTAGAAGTTGGTCTAGTGAGTCAGTAGAGTACTCTGCAAGTAAAAACAATCATTAAGTTGGGAATCAATACATGAGTGTTTGCAGCAGCCCCGTAGGCATTACACCAAACCAAAACACACAAAACTGTCAGATGTGTGTTGAGATGGACGACTGAAAAACGCAGCAGAAGCATTAGCTACAGTATGTATGAGTTCTATCAAAACCTACTGGTGGCTAGTGCTGTGAAAAATAATTACTTGGATTTTTTTAAATCTGCCTTAATTATGTCATTGCCATTTTTCCATTAGGTTGTCATTACTTGATAGTTTATAAAATATTGGTGAAAAATGGCCATCACAATACCCCCCCCCCCCAACACAGTAAACATTAAACAACAAACTGTCAATACGGTTTGAGCTTTATTACAGACTGTGCACTTGTCTTTCAGGATCATGTTTTTGAGAGAGCTGCTAGTTCTTCCATATGATCGGATGACTGAAGAAGAGCCCCTCACTACTAAATATTTAATAATTCTATTAAGACTATACTTACAGTGAGGAAGATGGCATCAATAGCCTCTTGCAGGGCCTGGACAACCTGAGGCTTCTTCTCCTTGAACTTCTCCAGAATAGTTGCAACCACCTAAACACACACTTATGTAATCAATAAGTTTGAAACATGGTACAGTAGAGTCATTCAGATTATGTTTTATTTGAGCAGAGCCAGGGGTTGCTCATCTCCTCATGGCTCCCACATCAAGAGCAACTAATGCAACTGTTACTTTGCATTAAGGCTGCATTTATATCATATTATGGTGGTCCAGTAAGGAAAAATGGTTTATTTTTCAGTCTCCAAAAAAAAAAAAGTGTCAAAACAGCTGTCACAAGAGATTGTTTTAATTACCTGTCCTGCATATTACCTGTCCTGCATATGTTCCAAATTTCTTCCTGAGGCCAGTGGCCAGTCCAGCCAGACATTTAGCTGCCAATGACACCAGCATCACATTGGCATCTTTCCCCACCACCTGGAACATAACAGTAAGTACAGTGTGAACAGACCCCCCTCAACCTGAGTCCTGGTAGACCAAACTGGCAAGAAACTTAGGAATTATGATAATTTTTATTCTACCCGTCCATGAGCTAAAGGAGTTCCTTTCACCCTACTTCCAAATAAGAGTGCCCAAGTACTTCTTTCTTTACCTTCTTGAGTGCTCTGACAAGGTCTCCATAGTCTCCAGGATCTAGTTTGGGGTTCTTGGTCAGAGCCTCTACAGCTTCCAGGGCTTCTTTCCTTTCCTGCCACTTTTTAGCTTCCTGCAGAAACAAGGTCACTTACTGTAACATTAAGCATGCATCACAAACCCATCGTAACCGCTTATCTTTAAGAGTCATGGAGGAAATGGCCCCAGACCCTGCTGGCACTGGGTGAGAGGAGGAGTACATCCTGGACAGGCTGCCAACCTGTCACAGGGCTGACACACAAAGACAGACAGCCACTCACACTGACATTCAGCAGACGCACACAGGCACAGTGAGAACATGTAACAGAAAGGCCCCCAGTTTGAACCCAGATCCTCCTCGCTGAGAGGTGACAGTGCTACACCTACAATTGTCAAGTTCATGAAATGAGTAAATGCATTTATTTATCAATATAAAAAATGTTAATATTCTCAGCTCTATTCCTGAGTCACAGTCAACACAATGTAATAAACTCACTATTTTCTCATAGAAGTCTTTGGGCATTTTAGACAGAATCTCTACAGCTTCCAGCAGCTCATAAGGATCCATTGCTGCTGCTGTATCCACCTCCTCCTCTCCTGAAAGAGGAACAGAAGAATGACAACATCACAACGGCAAAAGGAGCAGGGCTGAAACAAAGACCAGCATTTGTCTGATTGGCTGGGATTTAATCACGTGATTGCAGGTATGTACATGAAGTAGGCATATATCGGGGTTAACAGACTTGTGTGTATAACTCTCATTTGTGTTTCTGTAATTTGCTGTTATTTTGTTCCACAATGCACTCCATCATGTTTCCACTGTTGCCACTTTCATTACTATTGCATTTGATATGTCCAGTGACTGTGCTTAGACCATAAATGATGCTGGTGCATGGCTGCGGAGGTTTGATTCGATTTGATTCATTTATTCTTTCAAACATGTAGAAACAAAAGATAACACACACAATTACACAAAACCAACCAATGCTAATCCAGAATCAGTTTGCTTACACCTAGTACATGTTTGAATGGAGTAGGAAGAAGTCAGACTTATCCAGTCCTACCCCATAACATCATCTTATACAAAAAATTTCATGCATCATTGGCTGCAAGCAGTATCTCTACATAGGTAATTCTCTTCTTCACCAGACAAGTAATACACAGAAAATTTAAAACAGAGTGTTTCCTTCATGCATTCTTGATTAAATCTCTTATTCTTGCATATATCTTGAATGACACATACTTTTATATTTATATTTAAACTCCTCAATTCTAGTACTGTTTTTCATGTCCACACTTAAATTATTCCATAATTTGACCCCACTTATAGAAATACAAAATCTTTTTTTGGTTGTACGTATAGCATGAACTTTTAGATTTAACTGACCCCTTAAATTATAACCCCC